AATAATACGAAAATAAGCACTGTCTAATTCAGTATTAGTTAACTATTACTGTCTGGACTAAAATTTAAAAAAAATACACGTAAGTTTGCACGCGATAATATGAAATTGGAACAGAAATAATATACGCACCAGAACTGCAAGTTTACCATTCCAGTGGAAAATCAGTTGACAACACCGAAAAAGAAATTGAATAGATTATGACCATGTTTCCTAGAATGGGTCCAGCAAAAATGTCTGGCACCAGATATTATCGGGAACTGGCTTACGTTATCCCTTGAATGCACCACAGAATGTCCACAGAAGAAAGGTTTTCAAAACAATTGACGCCAGAGCCAGAAGTTAAAACAGATACCACTTCCCCATCAAAAGTGGTCAGCGTCAAAGATGAAACGATGCAGACTAAAAAAAAAATGTTTGTGAAAAATGTCATATTTGTCTAAATCTATATTTCACTGAGCAGAGAAACTGCTTGACTTCATTTCACATCAATATACAGTTTATTCTTTGATTAACATTGATTTTAAACACATAATTCGTAATTTTTTGATGTAAATGAAAGAGTGAATTGTATGCATGAAATGCCCGGTAGGTCACCAGTGGAACAAAATTAAAAAGTAGGTCAAGGTCGCATGATACAAAAATTGATTATGGATACCTATTATGATTTCTTGACTAAAAGTATGATTGTACACCAAAGCACATAATTTTCAAACCAATAGAACATAGTGTTGGTATCTGGGGGTTAAAAGTAAAGTGGGAAGAACAAGAACGGATTGAAATAAAGAGTAAAAAACAGAGACAGGAAGAGTAGACAGTAAGAACTAGAAGAGCTAAAATAGATTTGGAGAGAGAAAGTCGAACGACGGGAATAAAAAAAAAACAAAAAAAAACAACAGAAGTTGGACCGGTGAATAGAAACGAGAAAAGAACAAAAAATTATCATTTACCCAAAGCCTGCAGAAATAACACCCACATGAACTGGAAGAATGCATCGTTAATTTTGAACACACTGTGACTTAAAACAATCTGCGAGAAGATGATTATATTACCAAACTATAGGTTAGGGTACCGAGGAAATACAAACATCACTTATGATTAAGTAGGTCGTGAGACAGAAACTGTGGGAAAACAACATTGTAAAATTATTACTACTCAAACATAAGGTTTACCACGATGGAAACTACATGGATATAAGGAATAGTTTGACATCCTACAACTTTAGAACATTTTCTTCTATTGTGATTTTAAGTTTAGATTACTAGATAGCTAGAAAATTAGAAACAATATTTAAATGTCTTAAGTCATTTAAAGACCAATTGTGTCGCAATAAGTTATTACTGAATAATGAACAGCGGTCCATAAAAGATTCTTAGTAAATTTAAAATTGATAATAATAACAATAATTTGAAAGGTGTTGACAAAAATTGATAACAATTAAGTCGTCAAGACTAGTAAAGATAACAAATAATCAAATAACGTTAACACACCAACCTTTAGTAGTGGGGAGTTCCGAAAAAGGGGGAATCACTTTGGTAAATCAAGACGTCGATATACGGAGGTTGAAGTCATGGCCTTTACATACAAGCCAATATACCCGGCGTTGCCCGTGACTGCCTCCCGATCCATTTAATGTGTTATCCCTAAACGTCGGTATCGCGATCCCCATGAATCCCGATCCCTCTTGACCCCGATTCGGATGGGATCCATATCCTGTCAGCATTCCGATCCCGGTGGCATCCCGATTCCATTTGGAATCCCATTCTCATGTGGATAACGACAGTGTTTCTTTCAGAAAATTTCCCGGTGGGGGGGCTTTTCAGATTTTCGAGGGGGTGGGGCAGTGACAAGAAGCATAGCCAAGGGGGAAGAGGGAGGCAGATATCCCCATGCACCATACAAGCGGGACGCCTAAATGGGGTGCGGTGGTTTTTAATGCATCGAAATAACGGTTTCCAGAGTTGAGGAGGTTGGGGGGGGGGGTGAAAATTAATCAGTGTCTCCTGTCAGAGAAACACTATAGCTACACCTCTGCAAGGGAGGAGGTTTGTGTAATCAGCCCAGATGTCAATTTTTCTTTAATGGAGGGGAAGGAGTGGTTTTTAATGAATCGAAATAACGGTTGCCAGAGGTGAGGGGGTGGGGGGGGGGGGGTGAAAATTAATCAGTGTCTCCTGTCAGAGAAACACTATAGCTACACCTCTGCAAGTGAGGAGGTTTGTGTAATCAGCCCAGATGTCAATTTTTCTTTAATGGAGGGGAAGGATATTATGATACATGCAGAGTTTGCATCGGAACGTTGCATAAAGCTTTGCAAGTCTAGGGTAGCGCTGTCTACTCCACTAGGTAGTGTAACTATCAAAACTAACACTGACTACTCCACTAGGTTGTGTATCTCTCAGTACAAAAAATCGTTACTCCACTAGATTGTATATCTATCAGCACAAACACTAGCTACTTCACTAGATTACGTATCTATCAGCAGAAACACTAACTACTCCACTAGATTGTGTATCTATCAGCATTGACACTAGCTACTCCTCTAGGTAGTGTATCTATCAGCACTAACATTGCTACTCCACTAGGTTGTGTATCTATCAACACAAACACTAGCTACTCCACTAGATTCACTCCCTGCCCTAGAGGAATGGATATTATGAGTTTAGTTATTTTCGGTATTTGAATATGGATAATTAAATGTGTGTATACTAAGTCCGGTCAAGACCCATTAATTCATGTAGGAGTATTAATATTTTGTATAAAGCTCACACATAAAAAAAAAACTATTAAGAGGCCCCCAACCCAAAACGGGATGTTATAAAAAGTTAATAACCCCCCAGTATTTGATTCTGGATAATGATGGATATTTGTGCAAAGTCTGGTCAGGTATGCCTTTGATTTTAGCAGTAACGATTTGTGAAGTTCGCCATTTTCTAATGAATTACGTAGCTTTACACTCCCTGATAGGTTCCCATTCCCCTTTGGATTAAGTTATCTGATGTGATCCAATGACCCTTCTATAAAAAAAATCAAAGAATGGTATATTGATCTATATAACTAAAATAATAATGTTCCATAAGCTTTTAAATCCCAATATATATCCTGGTGAAACAATATAGAACTTTCTGAACAAATTCTAGATTGAATTTAAAACCGCACTACTCAAACATTTTAAAATACTGTCAAATGATTCTTATACGTGATCAATGTTTCAAATATCAGAATGTCTCTATAAAAATAGCGATAATTATAACCATTATTAAGTTAAAAGATGGCGCCTTGCAATGGCCAATTAAGTGAGGTGGCGTTTTAGTTTTTACTTAAATAGGGGACCATATTAAAATCAATTAGATAAACAATGGGATGAAATTTTAAAAAGTGTCCTTTTATAGGTTTGTCACAGATTATAAGTTCTCATAGAAGAATATTTACGTGTCTTAGCCTACCGGTATTTACGTAGCTTTTATAAGAGAATTGGAATTTGGTAACCTGCCACGAAAGAATGGATCTTAGTTTAATTCCTTTAGCATTAAAATATGGATAAGTAAGTGCATGTGTACTAATTTTGGTTTGGATCCATTAAACCATGCAGTATCGTCTGTTTGAGCGTTTCTCAAAAAATGTCGTATTTAAAAATGGATTTAGGGACCTCCAAATTTGAAAACATTATTTGGTAAAGTTCAAAATCCCCTTTTACTGGATAATAAAAAATTTTTGTTTCAAGTTTGGTCATAACAGTTCAATCCACGTAAAGCGTATGTTGAACAAATACTTTAAAAAATGTACCGAGAAAATTAAATTGAGCCTCCAGTCCCTAAGCAAGTAATATTTTGTAAATGTCAAAAGCCAAAGTATTTTATTCTAAAAAATTATGGTTATGTTCCAAGTTTTTTCAAGATCTCACATCTTGTTAAAACGTGTGTGGAAGAAACAAACACATTTTTAATTTTATATATCAAACAGCTATATAAAACCCACGTTTCGCGAGATTGCAGCTTGACATCATTGTCAAGGCAGTGTAAACAACAGTAATAAAAAAAAACCCAGCAAGTTACTAAAGTAAAAAAATCAAACATTTCATATTTTGAAAAGAGATCCCGTTCCAGCAGGGATGCCGTTCTTTTTTTTTATCCCTTTCCCCAACGACAGAAAAAAAAATGTCCGAGGTAGGTATAGAAGTATGTAAGATTACAAAATATGAGCGTTTTTTTTTTCCATTAAATTCTTTTTAAAAAAGCAAGATGTTTATTATTTTTACATTATCCAAATTATGGAAGAATCTTGAAAGGCGCCAAATGGACTGGATATTACTACTTTTAAATTCACATATATTTTAATATAGACGATAAAGGTTAGCTGATATTCCCTTAAAAAGCTTTCTGGTTGTCCAAGCCTTCTGGTATGCATATCGGTAATATAAGGAAAGCATGCCATTTCGCCTCTCTGAGCCCACACGGAGTGGATATTGTGAGTTAAATTCCCTTAATTATTTGCATACGTATAATCAAGTGCATGTGTAAGGAGTTTAGTTTAGATCCATTTACATAATTATGCATTAGCTTTTGTTTGGCTATTATTTTATACAGCAAATTTTAGGAAAAATTTATTTAGTGGCAACAAATCTCAAAAAGATTATTTCATTAAGTTCAATTTTAATTGTTTGTGTACTAAGCTCAGTCTAAATCTATCCATGCATTAGCAAATGTTTGGTTTTTTGTTTATATAACTTACTTAAGAGTTAAGAAACAAAAAAAGTATGGACCTTCGACAATAAATAAATATAAAGATTATCACACCCCAATATTTCTAACTAAATGATGCTGGATATATCTCCATGTAGAAACGTAAGTGAAACAATGTTTTTCCTGTTAAATATACACACTCATATTTATAATATATATATATATATATATATATATATATATATATATATATATATATATATATATATATATAAACATTTATTTAAATGTGTTTATTTCAATTAAATTTCACAGATAACACCCTATCGAATGTATCACGTATCAATATTTTACAGCATTTTATTATAAATATATATATATTAGGGTACATTTCCATAGTTGTCATTTGTTGCAGTTTTTTTTTCAGGTTTAACCCTACTTTGTTTTACTCATTTTAACATTCACACATGCTGCTTTCGAGCCTTTAAAGCGTATAAAATTGTGTTTGAGTTATAAAGAATCTGTTACTTCCATGTAAGGCTGTTCTTCAGTATTTAAATACGGGTCTGTATTGTAAACTGAAGAGAGAAAAAATAAATAAATGACAATTCATGAAATGAATACAAGATTAAATAATTTAAACATTAAACGATACAACTTTTATTATTTTGTTTTACATATTTCACGCATTTTCATTATTATGCGAGATAATGCATTTGAAAATTGACAATTTAAATACGAAATTGATTAAAATCATTTTGATTGCTACTGAACAATTATAGTTTGTTTTAAAAATAATGTAACAAAACTATCATCAATATTTCCTAATTAAAATAATTTTTAAAAAAGTAAAAAATGAAGAAATATAAAAAAATAAATAATTTTTTTTTCAGAAACAAAAACTACAATTAAATCTAACACGAAGGGGGAAAAATGTGTTATTTTTTTAATACTTTATTTTAGCATACCTGACAATGATGCGTACAAGAAAATGTTATTTCAATAATTCAATAATCACTCATGTATTATGAATGCTTATATTTACCATCAAATGATGATGTTGCTTCTGTGTTGATGGCATTGTTTTCGCGGAAAACGGGAGTTTCATAATTGTACTGATTTGATCCCTCGCGTCCTTGTTGATCTGAGGAGGAATTTTTTTTTAAACCCAATGAAAAAAAAAAAAGTTGCTAATGTATTTTAAAAAAATCAAATTCCTGGAAATAAAGCGTTCTATTAAGTGAAGCATGCATTATTATTTGACTTATTGAGTAAGTCTGATACTTTGCTGCTAACATCACTTTAATAGGAATATATTTTGGAGCGAATATTAGGAAAAATATAGAATTGTAAAATTTAATAGTTCAGGTATGCCTTTGATTTAAATAGTAATGATTTGTGAAGTTCGCCATATTCTAATGAATTACGGAGCTTTCTAATCCTTCAAGTGCTTTTAAAAATTAAAATCGCGTAGCCTCAGCTCAAACACTCGCACGCACGCACACAACAATTCAATTTTTCTGGTATAACAAATGATTTCCTTTATAGTGCTGTATGAAACATATTCGATAGTTAATTTTCTTGGAAATGTTTTGATTTGTTTTTTGTGGCCCAAAACAACGGATTTTGGAAATTTAAAATAAAAATATTTAATTCCTAAAGGAAAAAAAAAGAATCCTTATTTATTCGGCGCCTACGTAGATTTAGAATCTTTTTGGGTTGTATTAACTTTGAACTTTCAATTGATCATATGTATCTGGGCATTATCTTACTAGATAATAAAGTATTTTGAGAAATCAATCATTGTAAATTAATAAAAATGTTAACGACGAAATAGGCTCATTATAAGTATTATTCTAAATATAAAAATATGCACAGTAAATTCATGTAATCAATAAAATAACTTGACTTGCTATTTAACATATATACAAAATTACCCTGTAGATTGGAATAAGCAGAACTTTCACTGTATTAGAGAGAGGATAGACCAGTTAATAAATGTATTTACAAAAAAATTTTATGCATACAAAGTATATATTATTTTAAATTTTATATTTTGCTTTTAAAGTAATGTTAATCTTTATGTTTCATGTTCATTTATGTTTATTTTTAAAAAAAAATTAACAATAATTATTTCACGCATGATTTTTTTCACCAAAGATTTAATTATTTCTTAATTGAAAAGTTGCAACCAAAAGGATTTTATTTTTAAAAAAAATAATTTAAAAAAAGTAATAAAAAAATTAGATTTTAAGTTAATTAAAAGTAAAATGGTAATATGCACCTGCCTACTTACTTTAAAGTTCCTACACTTTGATTGTTTCCATTCTTCCCCAAAACTGAAATGAATAGGATACTTTTACAAGTACTTTTAATTTTTAATTGCAATTTGTGTTGTGAAAAATAAAGTTTAGTTTTAATGTATGGCGATGAAAATGGTAATATGAAATGTCAGCAGTTAAATGCAAAAACAACTATGATGAATATGTTTACAATATCGATCATGCATATTATATTTAAAATGTCAAATTGCATGATAATTGGATGAGGGCATTTTATATTAATAAAAGAAAGTCTGTAAATGAAGAAGTAATGATTGTAATAAGATGAATTAATTCCGTTCATGAACATGCATAGTAATAGTTCATACATTATATTACACGCTTGAAACGGTTGATTTTAACCATTTTTTAGCAACTGTTACTGTTGCACGTTTCGTTTATTGCAATCATCGGTTATAGTTGCCACCGGACCTCTCTTTTCTTTAGTTAACTTTAGGTACTTGATAAATAACTCGAACATAACATGAAGTAAGTCTATTTACCACGTGTTTTCATTTAGTTGATTGCAAGTGATTTATTATTTATGTGATTGCATCAACTGATTTATGGTATAGAAATGTTTTTTATTAAACTTACTGCAGCTAAAAATCATATATCAATATATATATTTAAACTCAAATATCTCAGAAATACAAGCAAATGATACATAATTAATATCCACACCAAAACTCCCTCCCATTGAAAAATCTTATTTCATTTATCTCCCCCTTGAAAAACAAGGAAAAAAAACCGATTTTGGTGGTATGGGTTGAGGCTGAACACTTGAATACATATGTTATCATAGGCGATGATTCAAGTTTCAGCTCGACATGATAACGGAAAGTGGGTCTATTTCCTTCCAAATATCTTGCAACAAACATTCCAACTATAGGGAAAGTAATCCAAGTGATTACAAAAATTATACACAACCTCCTGCTAGAGATAGAAATTGTACACACCCTCAAGATGGCCACTCTCATTTTTTTCCCTTTCTCCCACAAAATTAAGTCCATATATATGCTCCTATAATATATCTCTCCATCTGCATTGCCAAAAGTGTTGTCAGCATAATGTCAAATGAGTTTATGCAAAGTCGTGCTGTTACAAGTATGATCCCAAATTATTAAATATGTATTAATTATTTTTTTTTTAAAGTTAAATTTAATTAAATGATAATTACGGGTAAACTGTTATTTCCGTAAATCTTCCGATTTAACTTTGCTTGCATTACACATAGACATACACATTAAATCGCCAAATTTCAGCACCGTTTGTTCAAAAGCAACATGACTATTGCAACATACTATGACTTAGATATTTCATAAGTTAAATATTTCATAAGTTTCATAATATAAAAATTTAATTGTAAAATTTCACTCACATTTATGTCTGTAGGCGAACGATGCTATTGAAATAAATAAAACGACACCAAAAAATGCAGCTAGTGTCCAACCAACTATTAAGACTGGTCCTGCAATACTAGAATCACTAGTGATGGCTGCAGATATTAAAAAGCAATGTATGCATAGTTGAAAAACAACTATAGAAAATTTAATTATATATTGTCATAAAAATATATTCCAGTATACAATTTTTTCAGACAGACAGAGCATAATGTAAAAGAATCATAATGTGTGATAAAAACAAAATCTAAATTATTACAGGCATATTTATTGTGACATTTAAGGAGTGAAACGTACCTTGATTTATTTTGATATTAAAATAGAATGCATTCCTCTGACAATATGGCCTGGGCCAGAAAGTACATATGCAAGTTAGGCTCTCAGTTTCTTTTGAAATGTTTAAAGCAAGAAAAACCACATCTTCATCTGTATGGGAAACAAAAAAACTATTTTAAGGATAACCATCCCAATAAAATGTATTTTTAAAATGGCAAGATATTTTTCAGACTTTTTTTGTAAATTTTAATATAAAAAGATTCCAATAAAATAGTTATATAAAATAAATTACAACTACCACACAAAAAAAGTTTCTATGAATTGACTTATATCTTTAGCTTGAAATAGTGGTCGTGTTCAATAATTATATAATAAATATTATTATTTGTAACGGACAATGTTTTCACATGAAAACAGAGGTAGCATGAGTGAACAGTGAATTGTGTTGACCATGTTTTTCCACGAGAGAGAGAGTGAATTGTATTTTGAGAGGACAATGTGAGCTCCACGTTTTTGGAGAGTAAAATTATGTTTTTGTCAGAGCGGTTGTTTTCCACGCTTTGCTGGTAATAAAGTATGAGTTGACTGAGATAGTCAGGGCTGAGCGCAAGGNTATCAGTATAAAGTGTGTTCAATAAAGTACTGTAAGTTTTAACCAGAATTGAGTATTCTTCTTTGCGTGCCTGGATAATAAGTGAAAGAATGAAGAAGTCTTAGTCGGCATCCTGAAGTATTAACATAAGTAACCATACTACTGACATAACCCACTAAGTTACAAATGATGTCAGAGTAGATGTGTTACATTATTTAATTTAAAAAAAAAATCATTTGGTCAGTATGTTTACTGCATGAAAACTACTTAGCTTTTTCCAAAAGTAGAAATATTTTTATTCACTGTATTCTAAAGTAAGAAATTGCGGTTTCGGAGGGCCAATATCATGTGTCGTCCTTAGCAAACTTTAAACAACATGCTTGTGCTGGTGCACTTTTATTATATAAATGATAATAAGTTATTTGTTGTAAGATATCGATTAATAATAATTAGGCGAGCTGAGGATATGTTTATGTAACAAAAAGGTGGTGGTGGGGAAAAAAGTTTGACATTCTCTGAGTTAAAGAAACCTTCTTTGCTATCTTTAAATTTTCGTCGTAACACACCCCTCTCCTTTTCCCAAAAACAGTTTTCGCAGGGGCTAACGTAGAATATCCTGGAGGATACATGCGTGATTCCCCATTGTCGAAAAAGTTACTGGCCTCCCAATCTTACCCTTCTTTTGAGACATTACACTCCAAAAACGCGGAGTAAACAGGATAGCTGGGTTTTTGGTGCTTTCTAATTAAAGCTCTCATGAAATTACACTGATACCACTTACCCATTAGGGCCCAATTCACGACCAGTTCACGACCAGTTCTGACTAGTGCTCAAATATGAATTTTTGTTCCTCCGTAGAGAAATCCATTTACAAAAACAACTGCCCAACACAGCTTCTCTGACACTTCATTAACCACGTGGTAGTTGGAAGTACGCACCTTTCACAAACGCACGTACGCGTGCAAGATGCAACAGTTAAAGTATTGTTAATTTTTGAGCATACTGCAAAATAACTAGAGAATGCCAACATACTTGTAGTATAATTTTCTTGCTTTCCACAAAGAAGAACTATTGTAGTATTGAGAAGAATTTCAGTCATTTGGCAAGTGATAGACATTATTCCTTCAGAAACTAACAGAAAACCTTCTGGTTGGATAACATGTGTGTCCGTTTTAGAGCTTGCTACAAGAAACGCTTCGGTCGGCCCTAAGGAAATGAAATAAAAAAATGACTTGGAGCTTTAGAAATAAATACTAATTTGAAAAAAACAAACATTGATGAAAGTGTTCTGATCGTTCTTGAAATATATTTGCTTCATTTTTATATTTATTATTGTGTTTATTTTGATATACATAATTTAAAATGTTATAAAGAAAGAGATAAAATAGTACAAATTTATTTTAAAAAATATACTTAGAAGGTTATTTGTGACATATATTTATTTACCGTTAATTTTTATAGGCTGATTCATTGCTGAAATAATGTTTCCAAACACAGGGTTTTTAGCACTGCAAGAAATGTTGAAGTTTCCAGGAGAAAAAATGGTCGTGTTAAAACTATATTCATTTTTCTCCTTTCCACGAGTTTGTTGAATAGATAAATCACCTACACCAATAAAGACAGTAGGTTCTGGATTGCTGTCACTTACTGAACAAGTTACATATATATCTATACTCCTATTACTGCAAAGATGTAGATCACTGATATTCAAGTTCAAAATAACTCTGTCAGGGCCGTCTAAAAATAGATAAATATGGACAAAATTATAAGAATTTCAGTCGTTATACTTATAAATTATACTTTTTTAAAACTAATATTTTTTACACTTCCGGAAAAAATATTACATTTCTTAAATTATTATTTAATATACCAATTATTTCAAGATTTTAAATGTATTTTTTTAACAATGCATAAAAGCAATATTTAAATTTACATGTTGCATTATAAATGTGAAATGTTGTTATTTTTAGTGTTTAAATCATTATTAATATTTTTTTTAATGGCCGTAAAAGTTTGTCAAAAATTTTTAAGTAAAACTCACAAGCAACGTTTGGTTTATAATCGATTTCATCTGTCCAATTTAGACGGTTAAAGATAGAACATGTAAATTTCTCTTCAACTGAAACAAATTGTTAACATCGAAAAAAAAATATTAAAAAAATTAAAAATCAATAGATATAATAAGAACGAGAAGGGCAGAAAATGATCATTAAGATATCGAATATTAACAGAATATTCACTTTCCTAATATGCAACGACGTTTGAAGTGCGGTATTTTTAGAAAGTGCTTTGGGCGGAGGGGTTGAATAGCGGGTGCAAAAGCACATGGCGTGTTCCGGATGGCATTAAGCATAGCTAGGCCACAGATTCAAAATTAAATTAGGGACTATATTTTGTAACAGTAATAGCAAATTATGTATACAAAATTAGGGCATCTGTTGGATAAGGTCAAAAAGAAGCAATATCATATTTCTTATAGAAAGCTATAGCCTTACAATTAAGAAATTTGATATGAATATTTACCATTTATTTACGATGATGGATTGAAAAACCAGCACACAAGAATTATCCTAAATTATGAGATAAATTTTTTTCGAATTTAGGCAAATAAGACCAAAATGAAAACATATCATTTAAATATAACATATTTATAATTCCCAATTATTTCCATTAATTTTTTTGAAATAAAATGATTATACCATTTTAGAGCCCCCAAAAGCCTATAAACTTTAATTATGTTAATAATAATCAATTTAAAATATCAATCATCTGGAAAGGAACCATCGTTATTTAAAGATTTTACAGTTAAAATATTGAAATTGCTTTGGGCAAACAATATACCAGGATACGATCAGCAGCTATTAATCACCTATTTGCTTTACATTGTAATAATATTCCCAATCAAAACAATAAAGTTTTTGAACATTATTCGTCTTTTTTTAGACTTGATTACGACGATTAATTCGATAATCTGTCAATTAATTGCTCTTATTATAATGTTGATTTCCTGTGCCCGCCCACCTACCCAACCCGTATTTCTCAATTTGATTACACTGCTTTATATATTTATATATATATATAAATTCTAATGTGACGCAATTCGGCGGAAAACCTTAACAGGTATTTTTTAAAGTAGAAACAAAACATTATGTTGTTATTATTTTGATTTATAAGTACTGTTAAAAAAATCAGTTTAAATATGAAACTTACTCTTTAAATTTTTGAGTATTTTAAAATATACATAACAATCATTTTAATAACATTTATACAAGATCTGACAAAACTGCTCTTGATACTAAAAAATTAAATAAATGTTACTACTTTGACAGTTCTAAATGGGTTAAAAGGGGACTTAGGCCATATAGCCCACACCTTAATGAAAGAGTGCCAAAATAAAGCAATTAATCAAGCAATATGTTTATATAACTGATATGCCCTACTTTTTCCGAGTTTAAATTGGCTCAAACTTTAAATAACAGCCCCATGCATAGGGTGTCTTATCCTTTATTGCTTTACAGTAACCCTGTTAAAACAATTTAATTAAATATTCAAGGTAACATAAATACTTTAAAAACGGTAGAGGCCCCAGCCTCAAAAAAAGTGTCATAGAATACATACGGCCTAACTGCAGTCTCCTATATCTTATATTTAATTTTAAAAGTAGTTCCACACCTGAAGCGTGTAGATAAATATCTAAGGAAAGTTTTAATTTTTTACATCGGTTAAGGTGCCCTAGGATTAAACTTTGTATTTGGATTGAGAGATTCCGTACGGGTCTGTACCGTAAGTTATAATTTAATTAACCACTTGATAAGAGATCTAAAAATATAGAAGCTCAAAATTGTTCTGTCAATAGTTTTCATTTAATTTTCCATGCCACCAAAACCATTATTCATGATGTACTTTTAAGTTTGCTATTCAATTGAATGTTACCGGTTTAGGGCAGGTCTAAAATAAGACATATCAATTTATCATGTAAAGTTTGGCATTTTTCAGGGATTTGATGTGATATTTAACACCTAAAGATCGTTAAAATAGTTGCCAAAATGTAAACTTAGAAGGGACTCTATAAAAAAAAAGAATCAAACACATATTCAGTGATATCTTAAAAATTGAGAATGTGTTGAGAGGCCCCTTAAAAGGTATCTGTAACGTTTTAAATTTGTATATCAAAATGTATGCCTTTGGACATAACCATTAGGAACACTAATTTCCAATCAAAGAATACCCTTTAAACAAATATGAAAGAAAATGTTAAAGTTGCACATCGATTGAAAGCTCTTTGTGTTAAAAATTTTAAAATTGATTGAGTGGCTTGGTCCAAAAGGTGCCAAAGTTATCTCTGAAAAGGAAAGAGGGGCAGGAAACCTTAAAAAGTTGCCTGATTAAAAATTTGAAAAATGCCAGAGATTAGTCTTTTCTACTTTCAAATTGGGCCCAATACCTTAAAAGAAAGGGATATAGCATATTTCAAAGTTATTATATAAAGCGAGGCCCATCAAAATCATTCAATAAATATTGGAGGTTACCTTTAAATGTTGTGTCATTAATACAGGTTAAAAATTCAAGTGATATAGCTTGTGTACGTAATAAATTGGGGCCGCAATTACTTTCAAGAGAATAGAAAAAAATGAGTTCATAATCAATCTTTGTGTTTATTAGAAAACAAAAGCGTATTTTACCATAAACTTTTCCATTATAACCGGTAATATAATATTGTATTTGAAATATTTACCATCACAAAAGTGTGCACCATTTTAAACATAACTATTTCTATTAAATTGTCGGCTTATTCTTTATAACATTATAAACATGTTTTTGGTAATTTAAATTTATATATATTATCAATAATTTAAAATGTACGATTGATAAAACAATATTTTAACAGACAATCAAAAACCTACCAGATGTTTATTGTATACATATCGTTAATTTCATTATCCTTGGAAATTAGAAACAAGGGGAATGCACACCCCCCTAAATGATAAGTCCCTCTAAGTTTCTCTAGGGCTGAGGTGGGAAACCATATAACCAACTGCAATTGTGGCGAATTGACTGCTTAAGAGGGGCGCCTTTGGTTTTCAATACACAAAATATTGTTTTTAAATCAAATGTTTGTACAATAAAAATTATTATCAAAATGTTTAATTTTTCCAATTTTCATTGTATTAAAACTATGCACACATAGGGACCATATCTCCAATGATACAGTGAAAGAAAGGGTTCGCCAGGCAATTGGGTAGTGCGATGACCTACTGATGACTGTGAAAAACGCAAACTTCAATGTTATGGCCACGTAACAAGGTAACAAGGGCTTGCCAAAGAAATATTGAAGAGCACCAGAAGAGGAGGGAGAAGAAGAGGAAGACAAAGAAAAAGATGGGAGGATAACATCAAACAATGTTGTCTAACACTAGGCGATTGTGTGCGTAGTGCAGAAGACAGAGACGAATGGAGGGGGATAGTTCACATGTCATCTGTTGCGTCCCAACGGTCCAAGGACTAAGGGACATGATGATGGCAAAACCGTTAGTAAAGTGTACAGTTATATATGTGTGCAAAGTTTCATAATTCGATTGTAGATAATATACGTGTTGATTGCCTGCTACCTTATTAGAAAAATAAAATTTCTTTTTCACGAATGAAAAAAAGGAAAATGGTAGTTTAATAGATTAATGGTGAAGGATGTTAAAGCATATGGAAATTGAATATATGGAAAACTATACTAAATTTCATGAATCTCTAAATATTGAAACTGGGCTTTCACAATTATTTTCAATGTTAGCATCAACTACGCTCTATGAATCAACAGTATCTACAATATTCTAACAATGTCTTTTTTTACTTTTCACTAACCACATCTTTGGGTATGTAAAAAAAAAAAAAGAAAAAGTTTACCAACCATGGTCTAGGAATGATTTTCCAATAAAGCTACCTTTTAAAACGTTTAGATGCTTAGTTAATTAAAACTTAACAACGCTAACTCACGAACGGGGCACAGAAAAGGCGTTCATCTTTTGGCGACTGTAAAAATTTACTTTGAACAATCATGACCGACCCAACCGTACCACTCAATCATGACACTTGTTTTATTTGTATATCTCATGTTAATAATACAACTACGCATATTGATAAACGTGGGCCAACCTTATATAAAAACAAATATTGACAAACTTTTTCTGACTCCAGGATCATAGAGAACAACTATTGAATATTTCAACACTATAAGTCGAGGAGTTTTTCGGACTTGAAAAGTCAAACAAAACAAAAAAGACCCTCATTACCACACACACACACACACATATATATATATATATAGTACAGAATTGCAAATTTGTGCTACCGCTGCTTACATAAACTGGCGCTATCTTATCTCAAAGCACTCATGACGCATTATGTACCCACTAGAGAGCTCCGCTCATCCGATAGTGGCAAAATATCGATACAGTGTGTTCGCCTTGAGACTTACGGAAAGCGCACTTTTGCATTTGTGTGGCAAACAATTTGGAATGCCCTTCCAGTCGCTCTCAGAAACAGCCAGACACTGGAGTCCTTTAAAACCGATAAAAAACACATCTATTTCGCAAACACCTTCTGGGGTGATGCTATCTACCATCTTTTTCAGTTAATGCATACTGGCTTGTGTTGCTTATGGTTGAAACCGGATGAAAGACATTGACTTGGTATGCTCGTATGTAGTTTTATATTGTTGCGTCTGTTTTTAAATGTGATAAATTTTAGATTGTTTTTATTTCTCTTTATAATGTGTATGCCTTTGTTCCGCGATTCGAGCTTTTGGGGATGAAGCGTGTTTTTCAAATGAACCTTTTTATTATTATAATATATATATATATATTATATATATAAGAAGGAAGTACTAAAGTTTAATTTATACGCCTAGTGTAACTTTTTATTGGCACGGAGCAGAAAAGTTATATAAATATCAATTAATTTTTTTTTTTTTTATTTTTTTAAAAGTAGAATAGAGCAAGCTTATGGAAGGTAAAGTGTGTACACATGATGAACAAAAATGATATCCTACTGAAGTCATTTTTTCGACTATTCTTTATTTATTTAAAGCTATTTTTTTTCTTTGCACTTCGGATTAAATATAAATGGTTTGACAAAAACAAGATAATGAAGTTTTACTATTTAATTGTTTCACATGGGAAGAGTAAAACAATATTTTTGAAGGAGATCAAGGCTTTTAAAATTTTAGTAGTTCTGTTTAAATTGTCCATCTATGAGTAATACGTGACTTGTATAACATGCCATCTTAAGAAAAGCAAACAAGCGCTATGTTTAAAATTAAATCGATTAATAATATTTAATTGATTGTCATTTTAAAAAAAATATTGAAGAAAGAATGATACATTTTTATGAATAAAATGTACTTAAAAGCTAAAAGGGAAACTAAATTGAGTTTAAACAAAAAATTACCCGTTAATGGTCTCCGAGCTACAATTGGCAAACGCCCCTCAATGCTGGTTTCATTCGACCAATAAACTTTAGTAGGGAATAAACTTGTGTTATTGTTATAACATGTGCACACTATTGTCTCATTCTCTTTGATATAGTCGTTGACTTGACAGTCCTCGGCCAGAGCAGCTTTAGGATAATCTAAAAAAAACAAATATACCCAATACTATTTTAAAATCTAGTAGCTTTTAAAGTAATTTTTGATTTCCATGAAAAATAAATATTTTATTATCTTTGCTTAGAAAATCAATAAATCTTATATTGTATATCTAATACTTACTTATTGTAATAGGATCGGTGTAGTTACTTGATCTTCTCATATTAACTGTGAAATTCGTTGTGACATTAGGATACATGACAACATAAAATAAATGAGTTCCAGGTCCCAGAGTGTTGCCAGACAAAGTCAAGTTACATTCTGTTCTGTATCCAGAAGTTATTGATGGCCTATTCGCGTAGACTATTGCTTGATTCTTTACAATTACCGGGTCTGAGGCCTTTGATATAGTGATAAAAATAAGCAACAAAGTTAATATAAGAATATGTGGAAATTAGAGCATTCAAATGTTAACATGCCAATACATTTCAAATGATACGATACTCCTTGAAACTTCTAGCCCACAAAAAAATGACAGCTATATTTAATAGTCCTTAATTATAGTTATAGACGCCGACAAATATAGATGTATGGTTTTAAATTATTACCATTAGATCAACGAAAATAAAATTATTGTTAAATTCAAAATTAAATTTCTGCCCTAGGATCTTCCTGTTAGCCTTGTAGTTTTTCATTGTAATTCATGGATAAAGGGATAGTAAAAACAATTGCAGAAAAAAATATTTTAATGCCCACTTTAAATTCGATACAAATAAAAATAAGTTTTGCTTTTTAAGGGGGCCAAAAGGGCGAAGTAAGATTATTTGCGAGGATAAAGCGGGCTGTTATATATAGCTTAATATAGCATAGGGGTTGCTTAGTCTTCACTTAGCCACCAAAACTTGTCTTCTAGTATCATATTTATATTTAGGTCTTCGAGTACATGTGCTGGACAATCATTACTCACCCCTCCTCTTGGTGGGAAAATGTTATTTACATTCAAATGTGCTCAATTTGTTCTCAAGAATACCATTAGATGACACAATTTGTAGAATCATTTACTAGAACGTTCCGATTTAATTCCTTTATAAACACCTTTATGCTTTAAACAGATAGATACAGCGAGACTGATAGAGAGAGAGAGTTTGTTTCCGAACGAGACGTTATGTAATTGTGTGTATAAATTAAAATAGTATTTTGATGACTTATATTTTTCCCTTGCTGTAAGTCAGGGGTCTCAAAACTACGGCCCGCGAAGATTTTTTGTCAACGAAAAAAATTACGGAAATTAAGGTGTATCCTGTCAAGATAAGACGCCGATTACGTGGACGTTATGTTTTTACCGAATTAAAATAGGGGCGCGCAGTAATGCGTTATGTTTTCTAACCGATCATTGCTTGGCAAAACCTTGAAATGTTGGATTTTTCCGACGCAGGCTATACCACAAAGAAATTTTAAAAGCAGCTGTCACTCGAGTTAAAGGTATGACTGTACAGGATCCTTTTAAAGCTACTCATTCTGACATTAGGGATAAGTCTAAAATAATTTTAACTTTTCATCCCCATAACCTACAAATTCTTTTTCTGGTTCTGATAAACCACTCAATTTTTATCGCCGAACCTGTCACAAATGAGATTTGCAGAGAACCTCCTCTTTTCGCTTTCCGGAGGGACAAGAGCCTTAGGGACATGCTAGTTAGAAGCCACCTCCTTGCTATTAAAGCTCATACGGGCAAAACACGTTGCAACCGTAGCCCTGGTAACTCATGTCCCTACGTGATCGAAACTGATAAGATCACTTTCCCTCTGGAAGTTTTCAGAATGAAAGATGGCTTTACCTGCATAAGTCGCAACGTGATTTACACGATCATTTGCAAACAAGTGCGATAAATTATACATAGGAGAGACTTTGGGAACCGGTTCAGAGAACACCGCTGCAACATAAATAAAAAAATCTCTCCGTCCCGTCTCCAAAGATTTCAATAGCCCATACCATGATGGTATCTCAGACATCGCAGTTACTGGTATACTATATGCTAGTAACAGTACATATTTAATCTATATAGAGAACAAATTAATAACAAGATTTGGTACGTTGTCTCCATATGGAATGAACCAAATCCACAATTTTACTTAGCTGTCATGTCTTTTTTCTGTTTGGTTTTTACAATTATGTTCAAATCACTTCCTTTCTACTCCACTTTATTCGGTTTTTGTCTGGTTTTTGCGCCCTCCCCTTTTTTTAAATCTGTTTTAGGTAGGATAATTATATTTATATTATGTAAATTTAATTTAGACTTTTTTAAATGTGTTTTTTTGTTTGTACTGATGATGGCATGAGCCTAAACGTTTACTTGTGTATAATGTATAATTATTATTAAAACGTAACTTATATTGTTATATTGACACAATTTGTTCGTGTCTTATTAATCTATTTGAAAGCTTTATTGCAGTCCAACACTTTTTATAATTAGTTTGGCATAACCTTATTCGCTGCTTAGTTTTTCTACTTCCGTTCACAGTCAATGAGATGATTTTAAGCCATCTAGTGGCGGAGCTTTGCCCACCATTTTGCAGATATGGGTGAAAACATTGTGACTCAAATAGCGAAAAATGCAAGCAAGTTTCGCCAATTTTGAATTGCAATGGATAAATCGTTGGACAGCTGTTCCACCTCTCAACTGCGTGTGTTCGTTAGATGTGTGGATGAAGACATGAACACAACAAAAGAGCTGACTTCCGTACTGTCACACGAGAGGATATATTCAATGATTTAAAAAAAAAACAGTTGCTGATTAATTTGCCTGAATGTTGACGGAGGAAATAACAAGAGTGGCATAAAGAAAGGCTGGGTCAGACAAGTGAAACAGATGTGTTATGAGAAAAAAATTCTGCAACCAGTGTTCCTGCACTGTATTATTCAGCAGAAAGCTTGTGTGCTAATTATGTGGACATTAGCTGTGTACTGAACCCTGTAGTGAAGAGGGTTAATTTAATAAGGTCACATGGGCTCAAACATAGACCTTTTGAAAGATACAGACACAGAATCGCAAGAATTATAATATTACAAAGAATGAAGATGGCTAAGTCGTAATAGAATTCTGAACAGATTATTTAAGTTTGGAAAGGAAATATGTGACTTCCTGGAAAGAAGAGACAAGAAACAGCTATTACTGTACGATGAATATTGGATATGTAAATTGGTCTTTAATGCAGACATAAGAATTTATTTAAACTTTCTTTACCTCAAAACTACAAGGAGAGGAAAATCTAGTTTCTGATCTTTACATCCATCTAAAGGCTTTCATATCCAAATTCGTCTTGTTTTTTAACAAGTTGTTGTTCATCCATCAAGGATCAACGATGACCATCGAGTCGTTCGGTGACTGATTACTTGCGCTAGTGACTTTTGTTTAAAGTTAGGAAGACTTGCTCGGCGTCAACCTCACTCTGTCGTCCGGGCCCACCATATCCAGTGGCAAGACTCTACGTCAAGACGACCAGGGATGGGTACGGTTGCAGGAATTGTCATTATATGCGCCTTATGGGACTCCAACTCCGGGTTTGAATTCAGAGTTTCCTTCTCTCAGATGAGTTGCCGACCAAGGTTAACGAGTCTCATCCACCGGGGCTGATGTTTTTGCTTGACCGGCCCTTGGCTGGAATTGAGATTTGCTCAGTTTATACCATTCGGCCACCCAGTCACCCATGCAGTGAATGACCATGGCATTCTACGTGTCTGGCCATGCTCTCAGCGATTCACACCACTATGCTGTCTCTGATTTTTGTCTGTTGACCAAGTAGTGGTTCTTCTGCACAATTTGCTGGATTCAGTCTTTACATGCTATGGGAAACAAGCCCTTTTCCCCCGAAAGTTCTATGCCTTTCGGCTACCCTCAACCTGGAATCGTTGTCTGGGTTGTGGTCGCTGTGCATGTTACAGCTTTTTGGAACCACATGTGAGAGCTGAGTACAGAGACTTCCAGCTGTTTCCGAACAAGATGGCTTCTTCATATTCAACCTACCAGTAAATCTATATTGTAGTTATATTTAGAGGGAGAAAATCTGTTGTTACAGTATAAAATCTGATCCGGAATGAAACCGCAAAACAATTAAAATTAATTAAAATTTCGAATTTTCTTGCGCCGAAGCGAATTTCCAATAATCATTTTTAACTATCTCCCTTGCTTTACTGAAGCGCATACACACTGAGATTCCTTCGTTTTGTGTATTATTATACCGCCATCTTGTTGTAGCGGAGGGTATCCTTTGTATAGTGACAATGGAGATTTTGTTAACGGAATGTTGTTGAGAGAAAAATTGCGTATCAGAAATAAAGATTCTGATCCTCTACAGATTCTTAAGCATATATTCCAAAGAAAGAACTATTTCATGCAAGTGTTTTCTTGTAAAATCCATGTTTCCTTCCTTTTGTGTTCTTTTTGGTTTTTTCTCCGCCATCTTGTTGCAGCCGGAAGTACATTCGAACCAGTACAGACCAACAACTTGACACACTTTCAGCAGTGGACCGTCTTCATGGGTGCAGCAACCGCGGAGTTCCCCATGTCATTTGAATGCGAGATCACCAAAGACCTCCAGCTGCAGGGTCAGCAGCGGTTTTCTGACTTGGATTTAAAGGGCAGAAAAAGTTAGACTTTTGCAAAACCCATTTCAAGCAGATGTGGCCAGTCGCCCAGATGAGCTGCAGCTGGATGTCATTGAGTTGCAAGCAAATGACCTCCATACGGACAAGTTCAAGGGACCGTTGGGTTTTTAACTTGTTTTTGCCCAAGGAATATTTTCCTAATTTCAAAACATTTGCATCAATGTACATTTCACATCAAATTTGTCGGATTATAATCTCAGTTCACTGTTGATGTTAGGGACATCAAATCTAAATCCAGAAATGTCTGCTTATCACAGCTATTTTGGCAACCAGGAAACAATTTCACCATTCCAAATGATACAGGTGTTTATGTGTCGTGTATCAATGTGCCATTAAATAATAACTGAATGAAATAGTAATACATAAACAACATCTATGTTTTGATTATTTTTTATTTGAACCTCGAGTGTAGTCGGCCCCCGAATCGCTGTTTGATAGTTGATGGGTCCCTCGGGCTGAAAAGTTTGGAGACCCCTGCTGTAAGTTGTAAAATTTTGTTTGCTTCTCTACTCCAATTCGTATTTCTATAAAAATGTATGTTTATAATTTAATTAAAAATTGTTAGAATCACTAAAATTAGTATCGATTTTCTTAAAATACAGTTTTCTCACAGATTGGAAAACAAACAGAGGACCAAAAGCTTACAGTTTAAATCAAAGAAATCCCTTCGTATTTTACAAATAAGTATGTGTTGTATTATAATTATATTGACAATAAGCTAGGTGTCACTTTAAGAATTGTATAGTCTATTATTTCTGTATTCATTCAACTTAGGATTCCGTAATGCCCGTAGACCATCAGTAAAAAAAAAAGTAATAGTTATGAAAATAATTAACGTTAGAGCTTTCGATAACTTATTCCACATTATAGCGTTATTCAGGACATACTTGTTCCGTAACAAGAACATTTAAAAACTGAAACTATCGACCGTGTTGAAAAAGATATCGACATAACTAGTCTGTGAAAAAAGGAAATTTTGCAACCAAAAATAAGTCGTTGCAAATTATTTAGTTTACAATTGAATTTAAATTAATTAAAAATCAGAACAATTTTACTGAAGTTCAACATTTTATTTAACATGCAGCATCTAGCTTTTGTTGAATGATTAGATCCGTATCTTAATATTGAAACGAATTTGTGTAGAATCTATAGATTTTTTGTAAGTGGCTCTAATTTTAAGGGGTATATAACATTCCTAAAATAATGCATTTGAGTTTCAATTAGCTAAACTGAAGCACCGTGAAAACTACATAGCAAAATTATGGGCATTATTGAATGACGGCAAAGTTTTTACTTAACAGTCACGGAAAACAAAAAAAATATTGTCTTTACAATGTTGTAAGAATTGAATATACTGATTTTAAAAAGGCTACTACTTTTTACTGATAGCCTTTATAGAAATTTCATATTTGACAAACATGTTAAGAAAGAAAACTGCTCACAATTGTCCAAAACATAGAAAGAATCCAAGTTAGACACAAAACAAGACAAGCACCGTCAAGCAAAAGTGTTAATTTAAAACAAATCTTTAAAAATATCACATAAATCTGGCACAAAAGAATGACATTCAAAGGAGCGTATGCATATAGTAAAAAAGGGTCATAAGTGGCATATTTGTTGGAAACACATGTAGGAAAATGAGAAGACTATACGTCTTCACTTGCACGTCTCTTTTCAAAATCCTAATATGTAACACATCCTATTGTTGCCGATGTAGCAATCCTTAACATAGTTAGCTAATACTTTGCTCACTGTCATGGATGCCACTCTCATTTGAATATTAATTCTCTCACTCCTCAAACTTAGCTGTCCTCTCACACATTGAGGTTTTGACGTCCAATAAAATAATACAGTACTTTATTATATAAATTAAACACAGTAATAAGACTTGCAAAGAGGATATCTTGTAATAATTCTAGGATACAATAACCACACACTTATACAATATTCCACATCACAATTGAATCACAATACTTCAATACTTCAATAATCCATACGAGAGAAAGTAAAACAGGTCTGCTCCCTGTCAGATAAAATCGTGCACTCCCGCTCTACATGAGCGTCAAGCGTACTTCCGCTCTAGAGATTTTTCCCCCCTCTTTTCTTGTGATTTACAAGATATTACAAAGTTATGATCAAATTACTACGCCATCGTGACATGATAGTGTTGTGAGTAAAATCACAGCCAATTTGGTCTGTTACAAAATGTTTATGCTTTGATTTAGTTGTCCATACGCACTTTATCAATGTTTAATACGACTCATTCAAGAGTTTTGTACTTAAAAATAAGGCTAGTTTACCGTCTTTAGCCAAGTTTTTGCTTCGACTGCGAGTTTTATGAGCATTTCAGCATGATCATTTTGCTAAAAAAAAGATCTAGCGCCAGAAATCATTTTATAAAGTATTTAAGTGCAAGGTTTTAGTGACTCTACTCAGATGTTTACCGTCTCTATCTCAGCCAGATGATCCCAAAACTTTGAAAATAATTTCCTACCAAGGTCCAAATTTCTACACCAGAAACCACTGATTTGAACAAGATTTTATAACGTTCATATTGAAACGATTTTTATTACCTACGACATATGTATTTTATGTAAAAAACAGATGATCCATAGTCTTTACTGCTGAATGGTTTAATTCCATATTCTTCATTTTATTAATGAACACAAATATCATATTGATCTCAAGTCAGATCTAATCTCCGAACCTGTGTTTATGCGTGTACGACCAAGGTTATCATTTGACTGCATCTAGTTACGTTTATGAAATTACTTAGCTGGTATGAAGTTGATAGCCGAACCCAGGGTTATTCCTTAAAATGTGTCTAACTGATCTCAAGTGAAGGTTACATCTGAGTTACATCCATCATTTGATATTAATGACTCGTGGCTGCGTCCAAAGACTCCCAGAAAGAGATATCACAAAATTTAAATAAGTCAATTTTCAAATTGATCTTGGAATACCATTTCTCACAAGTCTAAGCACAAAGTGTCAAATAATTACAATTCACTATTGCCTATACAATTTATTGATGAGCAGAAGAGTGATAAAGAAATGGCTGAACTTCGAGAGAACACTTGAATACAAAAAAGCTGTTCATGCTCTCCTAAAATACTACTTACACGATGAAATACTTAAGAGAAACACCAGACGCAACATTTGGCGGAGAATAAAGTGTTCATTCATCAAATATTTGTTCTAACTACTTTTCGGAAAGGCATACTGAACTTAGCCCATGACTCAAAAAGTTCAAATTTGTTGGGAGTAAACAAGAATTGTTGCAAAATAAAGTCAAACTTCATTAGCTAAAAATACTTTTTAGGCGATTTCTTAGTCTTATATATACTTGTTACTGACACGGAATCATTGTGCCTACATTGTATATTTCTATTTTTATTGGGTGTATTAATATATTAAACTAGAATAAAGTACCCGATGTTATCGGGATAATAATGGTAGGTCGTTTGCAATAACTTCTACCTGCTATTGCAAAACCTCATTACAATTAATTCATAGCTTAAAAAATATAATGATATTTAAGTTTCTAACATCATTAAGTTTTGTGAAGTATGTATCTGCTATATATTATATGCCTATCATATTCTCTTTCACGCTTCTAAACTTCATTTTCCCCCTTTAAACATGACCGTAAATTACCCAATTTAAATTAGCACTAATTATATATAATTTGGCACTACAGAAGGTAATTAAGGGACGATTTCTACCCTAGAGAAATCCTTTAGATTTATCCCTTTTGATGTCCTTGAGTTACAACTTTTTTCTCAAAAAATTGTTAAAATAAAACTCTATATATGATATAAATTTCTCTATATATATTTCGCCAGAAGTAGGGCAAACAAGAAGACGACGACCACTCAGGCTATATATAGATACGCTCAAGCAAGAAAGACGCAGGCAAACCATCCACTCTCTACCCTTGCGTGCCCATCATTGGTTTTGAGACATTCGAATTGCGGTGGAGCTACCGCCCCCCTCCTGCACCATCCTCACTTGTCAGCAAAGCTCGCGGCGTATGCTAAGCCGCAGGTTTGCTATATTTATATAGTTCATGGGCTTGAAATAAAAAAAACTTGCAATGACGTATCATGAAAAGAGGGGGGGGGGGGGGGGAAGGTGTGTAGCAAATTTCGCATTCTTAAATGTGCTTAACTTGAGTTCAAGTTTTGGTCAAGAAACTTTAGTAGATGGGCAGTTCACAAGTTGCTGTTGCCAACGTTTGGCGGGCTACATCTAGTATTTAATATTACAAGAATTTGATATCTATTGTTTTATTCATAAAAATTTAAAGACAATTTGAATTTTTAAAAAATTATAGATTATCAGAAAATCATAAAACAAACAATTCTAAAGAAGAATCTCGAAACCGTTTTTCACGTCTATAAAAGATTTGGGTGTCTTCTTTTAAAATTGTTAAGCCTATAATAATATACACCAACTTCACTTTTCGCAAAGTAAAAAAAAAAAAAAAATTATTATTTTTGAAAGAAAATATTAACTCATCTCCATTTTTCAAAATAAAATAAAATACAACAAATTCACTTTTCGCAAAGTAAAAAAAAAAAAAAAAAAGTATTATTTTTGAAAGAAAATATTAACTCATCTCCATTTTTCAAAATTAAATTTTCAAGTGTGTAAAATGATTGGGTTTTCATATTCATGGGTATATTTAATTAAATGTACCCACGTTTTGTTAACGCCACTGATTTTCTTAATTTGTTAACATATTGTAAAAAGATAATGTAACATCTCTTTTTTTACAAATGTTATACCATGGATTTAAATATATTGACATTTATGTAAAAATGTACACATCCTATTTACTATCTCTGATATGTATGTCCTCAAGAAGATTAATTATTTACCAAATTTAATCCTTCATTCTGGGAAATATCTTGTGCTTGGAGCGAATTGGCCAACCCCTCCCTCCCCCCCCCCCTTAATCAAGATTTTAAAAAATTAAAACTAATAAAATCTTACACCGGATTGCAGTCCCTTCCATAACCCAACTATCATATTTTGCACTTCATATGATTTGTTCTTAATTGGATGAGTTTATAAATGGATTAGTGAATGCTATATGTTTATTGTGTTTACCTGTACTGATTGACTTAAACGGGGCAATTAAAAATGTATCCTTTAAATATACCTCTAATAAAAAAAAATATTTATTAGAGGTATATTTAAAGGATACATTTTTATTACGTTATATATTTAATAAATTTATATTTTTTGGAAGTAAAAAGGTAAAACTTATTAAATATTAAAAATGCAGAGCTACAATTTTTTGTGTTTTATTAACAATTTGAAAAGCTATCAATTATATTTTTAAAGTTTACTTTGAGAAGGGGGAAAACAGATTATCCGTTTTCTAACGCGTGTTTATTAAATCAAAGAAATGTAAGAGTTTTTCCTAACATAGACGATTCGTGCCATGCCGTCATTTGCGTGTTTATTTATAACAAATTAATTTTAATTTTATTTCGCAATATTAACAACGCACTTAAAGACGCATTAAAAACAACTGATGTTTGGGTTTTCTCAATAAATGTGATTGCGGTGTAATTCTTTGATCATGATTTTTTTATTAATTTTTTTCTTTAATAGCTTTCACATACATATAAATCCCTTAAAATAGTTCCTTAGTTTATACTTTAAATCTCTTGGAAATTTATAATAACAATGCTTAAAAATTTATGCCGTTTTTTTTAACATATAAATCCCTTAAAATAGTTCCTTAGTTTATACTTTAAATCTCTTGGAAATTTATAATAACAATACTTAAAAATTTATGCCGTTTTTTTGTTGACTTTGTACCGCGCTTCGAGCCTTATGGGATGAAGTGTGTTTTTGAAATGAACTTTATTATTATTTAAATTTATTCGATTTCCGTAAAATAAAAGGAAATAACTATGATGTTTTTAAGAGTTGGAACGCATTTAAATGTTATCGGTTCTTTGGCCTGATGTCAGTATAGGTCATTTTTATATACATTCTAATTTAATACGTATACAAAATTCTTTCCATACATTTGTTATTTTACTTAAAAATATGATTATTTAATAAACGTGCTTTGTTACTCTGCATATATTTCTTTTAATTATCATATTACAAAAGAAAAAGATGCTAAAAAGTAAAATGATTTGATTTCAAAATACTTTTTGCCAGACAAGGTATAATTACGTTAAAACAACCAAATAACAGTAAAACTTGTTACTTACGTCAGATTTGACAAAAAACTCGCAAATCGCTTCTGGGAAAACTTTATCAGTGATGCATTGAATTTCAATGTTAATTTCTTTACTAAGCATTGGATTGTAGCACAGTTGTTGTTCCGGCAATACTAAAAAATAGAGGGGGTGGGGGGATAATATTTGTATTATCATAATGAATAACAATGCCATTTTTCTTTTTACCAATGATAGACCTCCGACAAATCACTATTCTTCAAGGTATTCAAATCTTATGCTATATCTTGCTGTAAAATAATGGATACTCATATGTTACAAAATTCCGATATACCTTTCACTCAGTGATGTATTTGGCCAAAAGGTCAATCAATATATCTATCATTACATTTTCAACCTATTAGAAACTGAAGTTTTATAAAATGTCTACTATAAAGCAAGTTTAGAAAAAAAAAAATTCACGATTAATCACCAAAATCTAATATATGGATTACTTGAATGAAGGTTAGAAAACTTCAAAGTTACAACATTTAGGTGGATTCTGTTAAGATTCCTAAGAAAAATTGAACCCTGTATAAAGTCTCATAGGTTTCTTTAATTTTTCTAAAAGCTATAAAAACGTATTTCTTCCATCTTACTAGTAACTTCAAATGTCATCCCTTAGAATATGCCCGCACAACGGTGACAGGACAACTGAACGCACGACAGGTGAACCCAAGACAACCGAATCCATGACGAGCCAACCCACGGACAAGTGAACCAACAGACAAGTGAACCCACAGACAAGTGAACACACTGACAGCTGAACCCATAGACTACCGAACGCATGACAGGTGACCACAAAAATAATTAAGTTGAATAGAATTTGTATTAAATTTAAAAATGCCAAAACGTTTAGAAAACGTACCACGTAAAATTTTCTACTGATTTAATATATATAAACTAGCCAATATACCCCGCGTTGCACGGGATTGCATTAAGACGCCATCCTGGGGTGACCCCCGATCCCATTGGGACCCCTATCCAATTCTTACATCGAACTCGGCGCAGTCTCGTTTCCCTGTGTGATCCTGATCCCAGTGGATCCATCCAAATTTAGGATCCCGATCACAGTGGGATCCCGTTTTGTGGTGGGATCCTGATTCCGTTAGAATAAAGATTATGATGGGATCCCGACCCATTTGTGATCCCGTTAAAAAAATTACTCACTTTTACTGAGAGAATAGTAAACTTCGAGACAGTATAGAAATGAATAGAACTAACCAAAATTTCAAAAATCCATTAGATACCAATATATATCCACTTGGAACAATTTAGAAATTTCTGGAACCTTCTATAAGAAATTTTATAACCTGCTGGTTACATGTGTAAAAACTACTTATTTAATTATTTTTAATAATACGATAAAAATCTTTAACAAATGCCATAATTATACTCCTTTTTCTTTTAAGTTAATAGAATGGACCCGGGGGGCCTTTCCATAACTGTACCGATTTAGTTATGCCTGAGAAAGTGGGCCCTATAAAACCAGAAAAAAAAAAGTTACAATTTTAAATTTTAAAATCAATTCAGAAATGCCGTAGATATAGTTTTTTTAAAATTATCGAACTTTCTGGAAAATTCTAGATTGGATATTATTTGTTTTAAATCCAACGATATTTCAATACGGACTAAGAATCGTAATGAACAAAGCTAGGCTTAGATCCATAAATTTATATAGAACCTATACCGTTGTCTACCGTATTGATATTCATAAAGCTTATAGAAAAAAAAAATATGTTCAATATCCAAGTCGATAGTATAAGTTTAAGACGTATTCTCAGAAGTTGTAATCAATACATGAATTTATATTTGTATGGGGAAATTTTGGCAAATTTATGTTACACAAAATACAGTTTTATTTTTCATAGAATGCTTGACTATTGTTTATGTCAGATAATGAAGTATTTTGTTTAATTAAATTTTGAAGTTTTTTTTTTTTTTTTTTTTCATACATACAATTTTTAATGTAAAATTTTTATCACAATGACTTGTCTAATTTAGTACTCTAAGGAAATATAATGGATCAAATGTACTCGCCTATTATTTTTAGTTTTAAAATTATATTATAAAATATACAACAAATAAAAAGGAAAAGTGAAAAAAAACAAGGCTGCAGAGCATTACATAGAATATGTTTTTATTAAATTGGAAGAGTACACAATGAGATGATGAATTCATTTAAAGATGGCAATATTACACAGGATGATAATTTATTGCTCACCGAACAGGAGATTATGTCGTTATTTAAACAAGATGATGCAGCCAAGGCCTAGGGACCAGGCAAATTAAGTGGTCGGCTCATTAAACTATCCTCAGAGCAGCTCTCCTACATTTGTTGTTACATATTTTATAAATCTTATGCAACCCACACAATACCAGCAATTTGGAAAATTTCAGAAATTCCAACAATTCCAAAGAAAAATAAGGTAACGTTTAACAACGACTTACGACCTGTTGCACTTAGCTCTGTTGTAATAAAATGTTTGAAAAACTTATTCTAAAAGAAATTTTAAATGAAGTACAGCAAAAACTTGACCCCCACCAATTCGCTTACAAAGCTGCCAGAAGTATGGAGGATGCAATCTTACTATTGTTGGATAGACTTTACCATCCTCCTAGACAGTCCTAAAAAATATGCTTGAGTAATTTTCTTAGACTTCTCATCAGCATTTAACACTATCCAAACACACCATATGATAAAGAAACTTTCCTCGTTAGGTGTCAATTTAAATATTCAGGCTTGGATACTTAACTTTTTAACAAATCGACCACAATCTGTCGAAGTAAATAACCACTTATCTCTAGCCAGAGAAATAAGCACAGGGACACCACAAAGCTGCGTTCTCTCTCCTGTACTGTATACAATATATACCAATGATATTCAAAGCTTAAGCGACACCGTTCCAATCTTAAAATTTGCTGATGATACCACCATTGTTGGTTTAATATCTGAAGGAGAATGTCTATATCGCAACTTAGTTACAAGCAATATCAATTGGTGAAATGAAAATTTTCTCCAGCTGAATGTATCAAAAACAAAGGAAATGTGTGTAAATTTCAGGAGGGGGAAACACCAAATTAAAGATTTGAACAAAAAAAATCAAAGTGTAGAGAAAGTGGAGACATACAAGGACTTAGGTGTCACCATTAATAATAAGCTAACATGGCATGAGCACGGCCAAATACTGTACAAGAAATTCAAACAAATACTGTTCTACCTCAAAAAACTGTACAATTTTGGCGTAAACAAACAAGTCATTAAGTTATTCTACAGTGCAACAATTGGAAGCGGACTTATTTTCAGTATTACCTTCTGGTGTGGGAATTCAACGTCTTAATATTAAACACCGCATAAACCGACTAATCAAGAAAGCTAGGAACAAAACGCAATCTAAACATCCTTCACTTGAAGAACTATTTGAAGAAAAATTTTTTTGTAACACTAGACAAATTTTGGATGACATATCCCACCCTCTTTACCACAAATACTTAGGATCGGGCCTTTCGGGACGAATTCTTTATATCAGATAAGTTAAGATAAGATTCTTTTATTGATTCCAAAGAAATGGAAATGTTGTTTGATTGCATTATACATTTTCAGCACAAAAATGAAACAATTTGAACACAAGACATTTATAATAAATTATTTACAACAGCCATTCAGTCAGTTCTCTTAGCCAAATCTGGGACTTATTAGTTCTCATTCAGATGTGTGACTTCAGAGGAAGCACGCCGGTAAATTCGTACAGATTGAGAAACAAAATAATTATATATCGGCCAGTTCTCGCGCTGATGGAAAGAATTCATCCCGAACGGCCAGATCCTAAGTATCTAGGATGAAGAGAGTATCCAAAATGTGTTTAGTTTTGCAAAAACATCTTTCTTCAAATAGTTCTTCAAGTGAATAATGTTTAGTTTGTGTTATGTTTCTGGCTTTCTTGATTAGTCGGTTAATGCGGTGTTTAATAGCAGACGTTTAATATCAGGGTGAGGACTGAAAGATATACAATTTCTTTTGTTTCCCAATCTATACGAAATTACCGACGTTCTCCCTCTGAAGTCACACATTTTAATGAGAGCTAATAAGTCCCCGACTTGGCTAAGAGAACTCACTGAATGGCTGTTTAAATAATTTAATATAAATGTCTTGTCTTCAAATTGTTTTATTTATGTGCTGAAAATGTATAATGCAATAAAAAACATTTCCGTTTATTTGGATCAATAAAATAATCGTATCTTATCCTACCGTTGGATGTTTTTAGTTACAGCTCATGCTTCAGTATTAGCTGGACATATTGTGGTGATTTGACTTTTAATATATTAGTGAGGAGTATCTCTCGTATGAGATCTCCTCTTGGCTCTCTGTCTAGGGGTACGTTATTTGAGCCAAATTACCACACAGACATAACACCTATCTATTTACATATAGTATAGACCGAAACGAAGTCTCAGGTAAAGGATAAACAACTATGAGTATTTAATGAATAACAATATTTACAAAATCCTCCTTTACACACTCCTGGTGCTTAACATATAATCATCAAACGGATTTTATCCCAATTAGAAATGTATATTATTGCAAAGCAAGTGTCCCTAACATACAAGCGGTATCATCATAAAATGCTAAATTTTGCTCAAGTTCTATGCTCAATCTTGGTGGACTTATCCTTTATAGTCCTAGTGATGATCTCGGTGGATCATAGTAAGGGAGTTCCTTCAGTTCTAGAAGCGTATCCCTGTTCCGGCCTTCGTAGCTGTTCTAGGCGTAGCGAAGTCGGAGTTCCCGGTCGTAGATTCCGTGGAAGGTCTGCGATGGGGAAAATGACTCTCCCGCGATGAATCGTGGTTGTGAGAGTGACTGGAACTCGAAGTCCTTTTGGTAGCTGACAGGTAGTTTGGTGTAGGATGTAGATCAATGCCCTAGCGTCAGCTCAAGGTAAGTCGTGTAATAGAAACCAGGTAGTACTCTAGGTAGCAGTCGCAGTTAAGTATCTCGCTAGTGAAGTACTAAGTCCAGTTACTTCAAGCGTTCACAACTGAGTGATCAGATCTTAAAATACGTGTACTTGCTAAGTCCTAGGTTGCAGTTATGAATCACGCTAGAGAAGTTCTAAGTCCCTT